TCTATGTTATTTACACTTACACAATGCTTGATTCAGTTAAATACTTTATTTTCAAAGTGTTATTGTTTTGTTTCTAATAAATATCTCGTAAAATAGCAGATTGCAATGTTAATGCAACTTTCCTTAAGGCAATATGACGACTAGTTATTTTTTATGTCAAAACATTTACACTTATACAATACTTGAATTAGTTATAAATTATGTTCAAATTGTATCTATTTTATATCATAACTAATGTAATTTTCTCCAAAGTATACATAATAATCATCAAATAACCCTAGCTTTCACCTAAAATATGTCCCTTCTTCATATGTTAATTCTTAATAAGTGAATCGTAAGAATTACAGAAAGGCAAAGCCAAAATAAGTCTAGGATAATGACTTAAATAAATTAACTTCAATATCCGATGTTTGTATACAATGCGTACAAAGGAATGGTTTCTTTAGAAAAAGATGCAATGATACTCAAAATACTGTACACATCCACATTAAAGGCTGATCCAATTTAATGTTGCATTATTTCAGCTAAAAAATTATGTACTTTGATGAAAACGTTTTAAATCCATTTGTTGTAATTGTTGTACAAATATTCTGCTATTGTTAACAGTATACTTTATAAATTGATTTAAGTGTGAGAATCAATTTCACATAATCATCAAAGTTTGTGATGCAATAAACAGCTTTGCTTTTTACAAATCTTTTATATAAGTAGTAGCATCATATATTAATATGTCATATTAAACTTAAATAAAAAATATACAAAAATACATTATATTTTTATTATTATAATTACTGTAATGAAGAGAAGACTGCTCCTTGTACGATAACTATTCCTTCGTGTTCATGCCCATTTGTATTTGAGATTTGTTCAACATCTGCAAATATTATTTTCAGCTAGTAAGTACTCGCATTCCATCAAAAGTTTCTTCTGAAAAATTAAACATAGTTTTAGTTATGTAAATCTCGTTTAAAAGAAATCAGCTTTATCGATAATCTACAATATTTTTTC